TGACTAACAGCCTGACACAGGTACTTTGTTCTAGAGTGACTAACAGCCTGACACAGGTACTTTGTTCTAGAGTGACTAACAGCCTGACACAGGTACTTTGTTCTCAGATGTAAAATAAACGTTTAGTAATTTCCTCAAAACTGAAAATGTTTGTTGTTTTTTTTTGAAGGAAAATAAAATACCTATTGTTTTAGAAATTGAGTACACCTTTTTTTATGACTTAAATACACATGGCAAGGTTAATTATATTCACAACTGGCAAAAACTTCATCTAATAATTACATTCATTAATTATTTTTGCAACAATGATATCAAATAATTAATGAATCACACAATTTATCAAACTTACTAATGATGAATAAACAAAGCCAGTGTATAAAAAACATTTTATGTGCTCAGGTAAACTGTGTATGCAAATGTTTTCATTGGTTTCAAAATAAGCATTACAAATAATGTTTCTTAAAAAGTATGTACAAGCTAAAACAACTTAACTGATTAAATACAGAGATATAAAAAAAGAAGTTTATCTTTTATTGTAGCAAGGAATGAGCTAATAAGATAGTTTCTTAATCCACACAGTTCGTCATTAGTTTTATTTTGAATTTTAATTGATTATTCACACACACACACACATATATATATATATATATATAGAGAGAGAGAGAGAGAGAGAAAGAAGAGCTTACCTCATGCTGTAACAAGGAAGTAGCCAGTGTTCGAGTTTCTTTATTTAGAAGAATAGTTCCACGAATTACTTTACTCAGTGCAGCAAGAGATGCATGAATACTTTGTACCAGACGAATTCCATTGTAATGTTCCAAACGAACAAACGTCACCACTGGCAGCTCTGATCCTGCATTTTCCATAGGGGGAGCCACTTTCATTTGAATTAGCTGAGCTCCCTACGGTGATTCATTATATAGTATACATTACACAATTTATATTCCTAACAATGTATCTTGGATTTCTTTCACTGTTTATGGAAAATGTTATCTTTGATAATATTTCCGTTTTCTTTTATATCCAGTTAAATCTAAATGTTAAAGGAAACCAAAAGTGAGAGCAAAAGACATATCGTTTTACATAACATAATCAGTCAATACTGTAAATATAATAAAAAATTCAGGGTAGTTGTAGGATAATTACTGAAAATACCCATCAGGAATATCATTGAATAAATCCTTATATCACATATGAATAACAAGTCTGATACAATATAACATACAAGTTTATGTAGGGAACCAAGATCCTTCTTTACAAGTATGTTGGTTTATGTATGGTTGTGAAGAAGGATCTTGGCTGTATGTTAGTTTATGTATGGTTGTGAAGAAGGATCTTGGTTGTATGTTGGTTTATTTAGGGTTGTAAGAAGGATCTTGGTTGTATATTGGTTTATGTATGGTTGTAAAGAAGGATCTTGGTTGTATATTGGTTTATGTAGGGTTGTAAAGAAGGATCTTGGTTGTATGTTGGTTTATATAGGGTTGTAAAGAAGGATCTTGGTTGTATATTGGTTTATGTAAGTTTGTAAAGAAGGATCTTGGCTGTATGTTGTTTTATGTTGCTTCTAAAGAAGGATTTTGGTTGTATGTTGGTTTATGTAAAGTTGTAAAGAAGGATCTTGGCTGTATGTTGATTTATATAGGGTTGTAAAGAAGGATCTTGTTTGTATGTTGGTTTATGTAGGGTTGTAAAGAAGGATCTTGGTTGTATGTTGGTTTATGTAGGGTTGTAAAGAAGGATCTTGGTTGTATGTTGGTTTATATAGGGTTGTAAAGAAGGATCTTGTCTATGTTGGTTTATTTATGGTTGTAAAGAAGGATCTTGTTTGTATGTTGGTTTATGTAGGGTTGTAAAGAAGGATCTTGGTTGTATGTTGGTTTATGTAGGGTTGTAAAGAAGGATCTTGT